ACAAAGACTAATGCAAAAAAGATTCTTGAGATTGTTGTTCGCAGACCATTGTCAATTTGTGCGTATTGTTTCTGGGGGTACGCCATTGAGTGGCGGGCTCATATTACATTTATTATTTTCTATATTTGGCCCACTGAGACGATGACAAATTAATTAAGGTATTATTCTTCAACAAAGCGTAGATTAAGTGATACCTAAATATGGATGCGACCGACCACCCCCACATCATGGAAATTTACGCTGACTATTTTTGTTATGGAAGAACGTAATTAGAGCGATACCCATTTTTATGAAAGAAAATGCTTTGGAAAATGTATGCATCACAAAGCGATAGAATGATCTTATTTTCTTTTGGAGGACTAGCGTCCATATCTTCTTCTATCGTGACAGTTTTAGTAAACTAAGGTCACATGTCAAACAATAAACCGCCATTGACGCCTGATTGACTCTATCGCTCTCTCAGATTGATTTTTATGTTCAGAATTTTTAAAGAACAATGTTTCCATTCAGAACATACACAAATCAATCAATTGTTCAAACTATGCGATCTGGAAGTCATTGGGGGAGGCCTATGTTCAGCAGTGGACGAAATGATGATGATGATGATGAATAAATTATTTAAATTTTAAAGAATTTATTCATAACTTTAAAAATAAACAATAAATTACATTTCTTTTCAGTTCGTAAAACTCGGTTATTCACCTTATCAATACGCACTAATAAATCAATTGTTTCGATCTCAGTCTAAACATATATTTGAAATCTAAAGAAATCTAGTAAAAGTGTTCAATAACTTTTATTTTTGCTAATAAATTGAAAGTTGACTAAATTAGACATTTATCATTGGGCCTAAAGATATAAAAGAATTGGAATTATTATAGTTGGACACAATTAATGTTAACGTAATAGCAATCAGAGAATTAATTTGCACTGATCGCCTACTAATATGATAAATGTTTTTTACAATTAGCTGTTAATTGGATCAATTGTGAGTAATGTTCATCAAAAAAATAGCAATTGTCTTTATAATAATTCACTGAAAGGTGTCCCCCTAGACAAAACGCACTTTTTGATCGAATCGAAAATAGAATCCGTCAAAACTCCATACAAAAAAGGGGCTTTTCGACCACTTTTCGACTGGTTTGCGATTATAATTTGCACTTTGTCTAGACCCACAGGTTCTAGCGTTTTTTCGAACACAACACAAGGTTATTATAATGCAACTCATTGAAGCGTTTTTCTTTTTTCATAACACAGAATACCTATGTCTAAATCGTGTAAAGTAAACCATTGTTGCTTTTTGTTGAATAAGTACTGCTCAGTGTTTGAAATCGGTACCTAATCATGTTTTTTTTATTTATTAACCCAATATGTATATGTCAAATCTACCTTTTTGATTTTGATGAATCAAATCAGGGAGATTTTGGTTGTAGGTCGGCCGAAGTGGCAAAGATTTGAATCAAGTTTTCTTCGTCTTTATGATATAAAAATGCTACATTTATGCATTTCAACTGAGCCCCGCGATTTGTTTTGTAATGAATATTTTTTATTGATTTATATGCAAACTGATTGTATCTGAAACTTGTCATTGTGATTGCTTCCTATCTACTCATTTTCTGATAAGGATAACCGCTGATATTTGGGATTTTGGCGATGTACCTCAGGTGTACAGGAAAGTATCAAACTGTGTTTCGTTATCTGGTCAATTTCACTAATAACGTCCAATCTACTTGCATGTACCTACTATACATACCTATGTAGGTAGTAAGTATTTTTTAATGTGTCGGTCGGTTCAAGGTGATGTCTATTTAATTACAATTTAATCTCTACATTTTTGTAGCTCTAGTTCACACGTGTTTTGGCATAGTAATGTCCGCTTAACAACAAAATGCTGATATTGAAAATAACAACCCAATAACCTCTTTCATTTTACCTATTGCGGTGTTTTGCAATAATTACCTATTTGGTAGATTCTAGTACTAGGTACTTTATCAAGATGTGCAATTATTTTAGCAATTTAAAATAAGTAGGTAATTAGTTTGGATGTTTTGTGTCTAGTTCGTCCATACAATGCGTCTTTCGATTAACTAACAAAATGAAATATCGAAATAACCCACTTAAAACCCTCTGTGAAATTTTGGTTAAAATTTTTAATATGCGATTTTATTATTATTTTAAAATGAAATTTTTTTGCGAATGAGATAGTCGAATTTGGTAAGTTGATTTCTATCACAGAGTTTTCAAAAGCTGACATATTTATTATCCCACAACCCGCCCCCCTGTCATCACTCGATTCAATATATCGTTAATCGTCATAACAATCGTATCGAATGTCAAATCGACGTCATTGATGCACGTGTATGTAATAAATGAGTCAAGTTTATTAGGTGGGTCAACTGGAAGAGATCGCTTTTAAGCATATAGCCACGATAGCCGAACGGTGAAGGAGTCAGAGTGGCCGACTCGAGATTCGAGGAACGCGGGTTCGAATCCCACCGCCGCTCGACTATAATTGTGGTGAGCCCACTCGTAACACAAGCTTATTTAGCTTAACGAGGGGCTAACGGGACTATTAGTAATTTGTGAAATACAAATTGCTTTTAATATTTAAAAAAAAGCAAATTATGCAATATTAGAAATGTTTATCTTGTTTTGATTTGATTGTTACTAACACGATTTTATTTTTATCGGTCTGATAATTTTTTTTTTAATTCAATTACTAGCTGACCCGTCAAATTTTGTACCGCTTTTGAAAATATTCTATAGCCCTATGTTCATCAGGCATAATCCTATCCTACATAATATGTAGGATCCTAAAATGGTGAAAAATTTTTTTAGATTGGTCCAGTAGTTTCAGAGCCTATTTAATTCAAACAATCAAATCTTTGTTCTTTAGAATATTACAGTGTAGAAAATGTACCTAACAGAAACAGCTTATCTTTTTATTAGTGACAGTTAACTATACGGCAGATTTTAATTATTTTATGTGCGTAAACATGTATTCTTCCACTAACCGAGTACCAAATAAAATAGTTCAAACAACTTGTCCTTCCGAGCGATGCTCTACTCTGGGTTATCTTTAAAGACTGTCAAACCCGTCGCACTGATAACGCACTGATAACAGCCCGCAAATAATATGGTATAGAAAATACACAGTCGCCAACTGTTGATGTGAAAATAATCTTCTTTAATTGATTATTTTATTACCTAATACTTATTAATTTATACTTTAACCCACTTGTTACTAGCGTTCTTTTAAAAGAACGCTTGTTTTTACCTAAATATTTTTACTAATGTGGGTAGTGTAAACAATTTTTATGTGCAACATTTGAAAGATGAGGTGTGTCGCAGTACTGTCCAAGTCTTATAAGTACACTGACGTAAATAACTATAAAGTTTTGGAGCGATTGTTTTGAGATAAATTTATCATGACTGATTTAAGGTAAGGGATAGAAAAAGTGAACTCCGTAACATGTGGGTTAAACAAAAATATATCGACTTATTTGTCTCCTTTTCTAATTTCAATATCGATAAATTGCTTTTCTGACTGATGAAATCACAAGATGTGTCCGTTGTTGAGACTCTATTTACATACAGATGTACAACAACATATTTATGTATGACTAGCGGCCGCCCGCGACTTCGTACGCGTGGATCCCGTTTTACCCCCTTCATCTATCTTACGCGGTTTAGATTTTTTCATATATTTTTTTTTCCGCTAACTCCCGTTCCCGTGGGAATTTTACGATATCCTGTTGTAACTAAGCTTCAAGTTTACTAAGGTACCTACATGCCAAATTTCAAGCGTCTAACTTAAGCGGTTTAGATTTTTCATACAAATGTTTTTACCCGCTAACTCCCGTTCCCGTGGGAATTTTGCAATATCCTGTTGTAACTAAGCTTTAAGTTTACTAAGGTACCTGCATGCCGAATTTCAAGCGTCTAACTTAAGCGGTTCAGATTTTTCATACAAAACGATTTTCCCGGTAATTCCCATTCCCGTGGGAATTCCTAAGTATCCTATAACCTGCTCAGGAGTATGAAGAATAATTGTACCAAGTTTCGTTAAAATCCGTCGAGTAGTTTTTGTTTCTATAAGGAACATACAGACAGACAGACAGACAGACAGACAGACAGACAGACAGACAGACAGACAGACAAAAATTTTACTGATTGCATTTTTGGCATCAGTATCGATCACTAATCACCCCCTGATAGTTATTTTGAAAATATATTTAATGTACAGAATTGACCTCTCTACAGATTTATTATAAGTATAGATAATATTATACGAGTCGACTTCAAACGTTTGATTTGAGGGTCAACCTCGAAGATAAACTACTTTATCACATTTTAAGACTATAACTAGGTACGTAGCTGCAATCATGCAATTACTGTTAAATTATATTTATTTATTTTAATTCTTGATTCTATTTTAAGTATTCTGTATTAAGTAGAAGTTTTTGGTTAATTAAAGACTAAGGTAATTGTATTCCTATTCAAACTTGTTTAATTGTCTAGCAAACTTTGTAGTTGCTGACACTAATTAAAATTAAATGCTACCGACAGAAATATTTGATAAGATAAAATATTAAAAAGGTTTATCATTGGAAATTGGAATCTGATACGTTAAATTTTGAATAATATAAATGAAGTTTCATCTTACAATACCGACTAATAGATCGATCTGTTTACAATGATTCACTACTATCTGCACAGTGCCAAAGTTCAGGGTGATATGAAAGTATATTACTTACGTAGTTCACAACACAATCACTGATCACAACACCAACCTTTTCTGCAGGAACCGCTTCCGAAATTCTATGTACGCCGATCGTCCTTTGTCCTCGTCGTCGCCGATTTTGACGCGGCCGTGTAAAGGGACCCTGTGTCCAGAGATGCCATAGTCCATTTGTAGGTCGACTATGAGCATGAGCGTGAAGAGGACGAGGAACGCGCTGATCGCGAGCGCGAGGCGCTCCTTGAGTTTCATGTTGAGCATGGTGCGCGCGGTCGAGCGGCGCGGCGCGGGCGGACTGTGCGCATGGTCGGGCGGCGGCGAGCGCTTACAGTCGCGTGCGCGCAGCCGGCGCCGCCAGCGCGCGCGCGCCCAGCCGCTGACACTGCAAACAAAGCGTAAGTCAGCGAGCTTCGTAGTGCTACGGGATGTAGCGGCTTTCAGGCTTCTTCGTAGCGTACTACGAAGGAATGTCTAGCGTTAAGAAAATTAACAATGGGGATGTATGAAATGAAACAGTTTTCGTTACTCTAAGGCTTGGTTGTACCATCTTACTTTAACTGTGACAAACGTCAAAAATCTGTCAAACTCCATACAAAAATCACCGGTTATCGTCATAGTTTCCGTCAAAATTAGGTGGTGCAACCCACCCTTACACTCTTAAATTACTTTGTTTTGAACTACTAAGGCTGAGTTCCACCAAATTTAACCGTAACTTTAACAATAACCTGTGTTTATTGTATGGGGTTTGACAGATATTTGACGTTTGTTAAAGTTAAAGTAAGATGGTGCAACCCAGCCTTAATGTTAGTTATGGCTAGTATTAAAAATGAAATGGCTACTTTCATTACATAAATTATCTTATCCCTTCTTATTCTTCTTCTTCGATATTATTATCTTACATTCACCTTGTTAAAATCATTATAAATCTTTGTCAAATGTGTGAAAGAAGTCTTATTAAAGCACGTGGTCAATACGCCTTAACTGTGGGAACGTAGGATCTTTTAGGACTTTTTCGTAGCGCAGCATACTATGGAGATGGGCTGTAGTTACATGAAGCTTTGGAGCCGAAATTAAAAGTTGAGCGGCAATCAGTCTTGAGGCACTTTCGACATCTCACTATAAAAATGTTTAAAACAATATAATCTAGGTATTTGAAGTTTATACAAACGAAATTATGGTAGTGAGCCTGGATGCGGGCAGCGCCGGACCGGTCGTTATGGAAATCCTTGGGGGAGGACTTTGTCCAGCAGTGGACGTCATTTGGCTGAAGAGAATTTAGAACGTACGCACTCATGGTCCTTAGATTGTACCTCCTAACTATCTACTCTAGTATGTAAACCAATGTTCCGCTAACGTATCAATGTAATTTGAATTGAACTTTCATAAACACGTGTGTCACTTGTGTACTTTACGTCATATTATCACAGCTCGTATTTGAATTAAGATAACAGTAAACTAATAAAACGACATCATAACTAACAATAGATACTCTTGTTAATTACGTCATAAGACAAACTATAAGTCACTTAATCCATGGGAATGACATTGATATTGAAGTTATGAGAAGTTCTAGGAAAGTATTCGATGGCGCAAAGCCGCAGTGGAATGTTGGTGATACTTGATCTAATGTAGAGTTGCATTCACGCGTGTATTACTGTCTACTGATATGAAATTGATCTTGAGTTATGTGCAGAACTGAAAACTTGTTTATAATGTGCTGGTGTGCAAATTGATACTTATACCCCGTTATTAATAAGACTTACACCCTAGTTGACCTTGGTTTAAATTGTCATTTAGTATGGAAATGACATTTGAATCCCGGGTGTAACTTTTTATTAATCCCTTATTAACGTACCTGACCGTGACACGAAAGTAACAATATTAATAGTGATAAATAAAATACTAATTATCTGATAGAAAATAAATTTTACCTAGGTAAGCTTAACAGCAATAAGTATAACAAAAAATATATTTCACTTATTAATTTCAGTAGTTATTTTTACTACACGAATTGATTGAAAATATCAAGTAATATAAAATGAAAGAAAACATTCATTTAAAGTCATATCAAAATCCTCGCAATAAAAAATTGAATGTATAAATTACAGTAATTGCTTTTAGATCGGCTGTTCATAAACAGTAAATACATATAGCACTAATTAAAGAGCAAAACATTTTGCTATCTGAGACCCAGTAAAGTTAAACTGATGACAAAGTAGTAGTAAATATCAAACTCACGCATCAACAATTTATTATTATATTACACGTGTTAGCAACTTTGCAATTTTCAGGTCAATAGATCAATGTTGGATAATAAATTAGTTTTATCTATTACTGGCTTTACTCGGCCAGAAATAATATTGTCAACAGTCTAGGGATACCATTTGTTAGGGTAGAGAATAGTTAAATGCCTCGTACACACGACTACTACAAGCCACGTGTCTCTATGTATGTGTTTAAAAAAAAAATATGGATATTATTCTCTATATAAACTTCACATTCGGTTTACAGGTTCAAAGTTCGCTAAAATTGGTAGATATAAATTAAATTATTCTTAAATTATTCGGTCCAAGAGATTCTACCACACTTCGAATGCACACATTTGTCCTATCCCTATCTGAAACTCAATAAAGCACTAATTTATACAAAAGGGAAAAGGAATTAATCAACTGTGATGATTTTAAACCGGTAAGGATTTAAAAAATAAGTCTGGATTAAAAATAACCGCGTAATTAAAAACAATAGTACCTAGTAGAAGTTAATGTATGACTGTCCAATTAATGCTTGAAAGATTAATGATTAATCACATCGTAATAAAGTTCGTTATGTGCGTAATTATAATGATGGTGGCTATTATAGGCCAATTAATTTAGTTGCCTCTTCGCATCGACCAGTAATTATAATGTCAATCTCGAAATAAGTTAAGAACTTACGATCGAATATTGATTTGTAAGTCTTTAATGGGACATAATATTAGGGACCTATTTAAAGATAGAAATGCTATCAAAAAACTATATTTTTGGACTTTACAAACCTTGAAACTATTAATTCACCTTCGGAGTTTTAATATTCGCAGTTTGAAAAGGTTTTAAATTATATTTCTGCATTTGCAATTTAATCTATTTTTTTAAGTAGTTAAGTACTAATGAATGTATCTCTGCTCTATATGCTTTAAGTCTCACCTTTTTACCTACATGATGTTGCAACTTTGCGATTTAAAAAGATATAATATACTCCCATGAACCAATTTGACGCAATCATATGAAAACATGTAATATAATGATAGACAAAACAATACTATCTAGCGAACACCTAACAAGCACTCCATATGTAAGAACTGACGTGAGATTTTTACACTAAAATAACACACAAGTAACCCAATTAAAAAACTGATATATCTCTTTATATTGCAAATACCACAGTGTAGAACAACCTACCTAGAAACCTAAATATCTCATATTGCAATGCAAATAGAGTTGCCAATAATAGTACTAAATAGATAAATTGATTTGTTTTTTAGTGTCCTCTGGGTTAGGGGTTGAACTCACCCCAAGATTACACAGCAGAAGGGTGAATAAAGGTGCGTAAGTAATGATTTCAGAATAATGTTTTCGTCTACTCAAAGGGTTTTCGTAGACGCTAGGAACGAAAACATATTTTCAGTTTGAAAGCTGTGTCCGACAAAGCTTCTGAGCTTAGAGGTCTCTAAGAGCTTTCTAAGCGACATCACTTAATAATTGTACGAGCATTACATTTACATTACATGTGTGCATTCTTAACATTTTTTAAGAATATGGATTAGCAATTTGTAAATGCAAATTGCGAATGAGTTCAAACAATAGTCTAACGACGACGTAGATCTTGGAGATTGCTGCCTAATGGAATTTTTGGTGCCAAACTTGGCCTTCACTGTGTGGGTATTTTATTTTATTATCAGTCAATATGTAAATGTAGATGAGGAATTGCTGGCCGTTACGAGTATACACCAGTTTAACATATTTGACAGTTTTCCCTAACATACTAAATTAGGCAAGAACCATAACTGAGTCTGATCTTTAACAGAAATAAAAATTTGTTTATATCCAATATTATGATAGGTACTTCAGGATTAATAATATTCAAAAGTGTAGTTATTCCCAAACAGCATCATTAAAACAGCGATCCGAGTTGGAAGATACTTCAGACATGCCACACGAGGAACAAAAATGCACCAATTAAACAAGTTACTGTGGGGTAAGAGCTTTTGCTTACTTAAGTACCGAATAGTAAATTAATTATACTCGTACATTTTAATTTTCAGACTTTTTGACTGAATTCAAATTGGTTTCAGTGATATAGACAGTAAGGTGGAAAAAATTGATTATAGTTGATTTACCCAATAAAAATCGTCACGAAAATTCTGTTTCGTTCTCAGATTTGCAGGAAAGAAGCTTTTCTATACAATGTTTTCATGCAATTGCAATCTATCAAGAACAGGTATTTAAATGTGTGATTGTATATTTTCGGATATAATAAGTAGGTATAGTTGTCAGTTAGAAACTCATGATTTTTCACAATGAAATATGCAAAGAAAATATTTTGAGCGTGTTACTAAGTGTACTCGTGCTCCTACGTATATTAACTAATCGTTAATTTATATCAAATACATCTCAGCCGTAACATTGCATGCAACTTACAATAGTTTTGATAAAACAAACTATTGTGTAACGTAATATTTACCTATATGTAATCAATGTGGAATTTTATGTACGGCTTGCAAATTATATGTACCGTATTAATACGTATGTACCTACGTCCTAATAAATCACATTCAGTAATGCTTACGCGTGTAATAACTTTGATTTATTGTATTTGGTTTATCGTATTTTATTCAATCTTAATCTAATCGTAAACACGTAAAATAAAACTCTAGGTACTATGTAAGTTAGTATATGACGTACGTGAACTTGGTAAACTACTGAGTGGTTTATTTATCATAGCCTATATTTTTGATAGGGTGATCGCTATAGTAATTAGCCAATACATAGTTATTGTCCAACTTGCCTAAAATGAAAAAAAAAACAAGCCTAATGGAAGTTATTAAGAGAGGAAAAGAGACAAATATTTTTTCTGAGCAATACGCAGTCCAATGTAGTAATATTTTTGCCTCTTATTAACAATCCAATATGCCAATAACTATGTATATGCTAATTCTATAGTAATCACCCTATTCTGATTTAAAACATAATGTTTTGATTGGTATTAAAAGTCCCAATGGAGAGCTTGACCCTCTACTGGTCGTTTTGAAATATGGACAAGCAGACTTTTAATTTTGTTACAAAATCGACCTATTACAGCTACTTATTTACAATGCCACAGATTGTACAATATTAATAGGTTCTTTAAGCGTGATTCT